TATCCCTTAAAGGCAAGTGTAGTTTTTAAAGCTCCAGGATAGCACATTTTATTTCCAAACCTAAATAATGCAGGGTTGCAGTCATTTCATCGTAGGGGAAAGTGGATCCAGTCACTTCATCCAGAATAAAGTGACGGGGTTTCCAACCTCAAAATCTCCCTAAAAGATTCCAAGTGGCCTCAATTGCTCACACTTATCAGAGGCAAAACAGAGGAAGTGACAGAAAATGAAAACATGAAAAACCACTTCACTAAAAATATAAACCAAACAGGCTAATATCTTTGATATTGTATTAATACGGCCAGTGAACTACAGCATCCTCACCTCTGAAAATGGCTGAGCACGTGCAGGTGGAACCATTGAAATCTCAGCATTCCAGACCTCAGCTTACCTGTGTAACTGGCGAAGTGGCAAATGTTGAGTTTTTAATGGAGATCATCGCATTTTCCTCTCCAGAGTGTATCTTCTCTAAACATTTTCAGAATTTGAATGCTATGTAAAGGGGAAATCCAGCTCACCTATGTGCACAGGCTACTTTTTTCAAACGGGACCAGTGCAGTAAAGCAAGCAGGATTTGATGCTAAAATTTTATTACAGCAACAATAGTGGTCTCTGGTGCACTTTTTCTCAGCAAAAATCCAGTTACCTCATTGTGATAAAGTACTTTGTCTTTGGCATTATAGCTTCTTCACTTCGGAATTTCATTAGCACCTCAGCAAACAGAATAATAATAATGATGCTTAAATAAACCACTAAGTATTTATGATTCAATATCCTTCTACTGTAAAGATATGTTCATTCTGCAGTGCATTTAAGTTGTAAAATCTCATTTTAGGTTGTGGGGTTTTTTTAGTTTTTTTTTTTTTAATTTATTAGCTGAATTTGGAAAGTGAAATAACTGGAATGTAGTTGATACACTAGCAATGGGGGTGGTTTTAAATACTTTTGATTCACCGTATTTTAATACCATTTCACTTGTCTTTCTGGCTTTAAGACAGTGCCCAACCTCTATAAAGTGTAATCTAGGATAACTATGTTCTTCTGAAGCCACAAGCAGCAATATTCAGGATCAGAGCCAAACCATTGAAAATCAAAGACCAACTTGGCATTCTGTTAACATTAATTTTATAAAATATCTTACAAGAACAGATAAAGTACTTGAGGTTACATAATAACCAGACTTGAAAAAGAATGTTGAATAAAATATAAATTAATTGAACACATCACTATGTTTATCACATGTTAGACAAGTTTATAAAAGGCATTTTCTGATAAAATAGTTATTTGGAAGAAAACCCTTCAAAATGGAAACTATTGCAGTCCTTTTCAGGAAATTATTCCTAGAAGCACTAAATTCCAGGTCAACAAGCAGTACCTGAATCTGTTTAAAATATACCATTCATCTGCTTCCAAATTTGTCCAAATTCAAATGGTTACCAGTTCAGAATAATCAGTGCAAAGTAAAGCTTCAAGCTGAAATTATGAGAGGAAATGATTTGGATACAAAAATCTAAATTCACATTATGAAAAAGTCTTTGCCAGATGTGCACTTGGATTATGAAACATTGACCCATTTGATCAGTGGCCATTTTAGGTTTCCATTCTAGCCAACCCATTAATTGGTTAATCACATGGAATTCATTTATTTCAGCGCAGTTTCAATTTTTAACTTATCTTTGGAAAGGATCCATGCTGCTGATGTTCATTAGTATTGCTCACCTTCTGATTCAGCAAATCTGGTTAAAATGCAGCAATTTTGCATCAAGGAAATAAATGCAGATGTTGGCATGATGGTCTAACGGAGGCTATTGTAGAAAATAGATCCATAAGCCCCACTTTTACACACACACAAGCATTTGAGCAACTTCATTCATTCGAGTATACCCACTACAGTCAGTCGTGTGCTTAAAGTTACATATGTTCACAGGCATTTTGCAAGATTAAACCTTTATTTTTTAAATTGTTAAAGGCATTTTAGGGAACCAAATTATTGTCAGATTTACCCCTCTCAAGCCCATTAAGTCCTGTGCAGTAAACATCAACAGTCTAGCAAGGCAATTTCACTCAATTTGGCTTTAAAGCGATTAACTGAAACAGGTCTGAGGCATCTCATGTTCCATTATGTAAGAGTGTCTGATTTGCTTTATCGTCTAAAGATCATAGAATCATAGACTTTAAGGTCAGAAGGGACCATTATGATCATCTAGTCTGACCTCCTGCATAACACAGGCCACAGAATCTCAGCCACCCACTCCTGTAACAAACCCCTGACCTATATCTGAGCCACTGAAGTCCTCAAATCATGGTTTAAAGACTTCAAGGTGCAGAGAATCCTCCAGCAAGTGACCCATGCCCCACGCTACAGAGGAAGGCAACAAAAAAAACCCAGGGCCTCTGCCAATCTGAATGGAATTTTTAGTCTGTAAAGCCACTACCTATGCTATTACATTATAAAGGTTCTTAAACACATGTACAAAAAACAAGTCATACCAAACAGGCTGGGAATGTTATTAAAAAAACTAGAAAGAGCTTGTGTAGAAATAATTTTAAAATATTTTACATGACTGTTCGTCTTGCTTCTTAATTGAAACATGGTGGTGTCATTTATTCTAAGATCCTGAATAAAATTTAGAAAATGAGAGAATCTATGCCAGTTTTATCCAATATGATTGGAAATTCCAACACATGATCTGCAGACTGTTTGCTTCTCCGTGCAATGTATTTTTTCCATCGTTGCTATTACTGGCAGTTATGTTAGAGCTATAATTAAGCAATTCTAATAAAATTGCAACATTTACCTTAACAGCATGTATCATTTTGAATTAACAATCTAGCATTTCAGCCAAATATAATCAATATGATGCAGGAAAGAAACCAATTAAAAGAGCTGAAAACAGCGTTCTTTGCGACAAAAAAAAAAGGGGGGGGGGAATTTACTTAAACAGAGAGCACTGAGTAAAACTTCAGCCAGAAGCCTTTATTATTCCTACCCAAAGAATGAACACTGAAAGGAAGCTGCAAATGCCCTTTTCTAGCACATGAAATCATTTGCTTAGATTGAAATAGAACAGAAACCCATCCCTGTAGCTCAAATACCTCTGATCATCTTGTTTCACTGGACCAAAACAGATTAATGATGGCCATCATGCCATGCTTTGTGATCCTGAAAAGGAATGATTTCTTAAAAAAAAAAAAAAAAAAAAGAATAAGCTGTTAATGAAATGGAGGTCTAGATATGATAATGGTAATTTCCACTTGGTTTTCTCAGTGACTTTGAATTCCTTACTTGAGATGTTTGGTTGTTCTTAAATCTTTAAAATAAATCCATGTGGTGGGGCGATTGCCCCACCCCCATGCAAGAGGGGGCTAGAGTAGACCAGAGCAGCTGGGCACGCCAGCAGCCAATCAGGGACGGGCCTACTGAGAGCCAATCAGGGCCGAGATTAGAGCCAGCCAATCAGGGCTAGGCTAGGCCCTATATAAAGGCTGCCTAGGAGAGGAGCAGGGAGTCTCTCCCAGGCCTTCAAAGGGTGAAGGTCTGTCTCCTGCGTGAGGAGACTAGCACCTGGGACAGCGCAGTGCTGGGCAGGCTCAGGGGAGCCGAAAGGAACTCCAGCCCGCTACCTGCCAAGCTGCAGGCCCTGAGGGAAGGGCCTAGCCGGTGCAAAGGGGCCGAAGGGGAAGCGCCCCAGGGAGAGAGACGCACAAGGGGAGAGGAGGAGGGCAGGAAGGCTGCCGCCAAAGGGTCAGGACCCAGTGTGGAGAGCGGGCCTGGGTCCCCCCCTTGCACGTACACCCAGCCATTGGACGTGGCAGTAGCAGACTGCACCGGACCCCTGATGCAAGGGGTTAGACTTTGGGGTGTGGTTGTCCACTGTGGCTGGGGTGCAGAGAAAGACTGCTGTTAACTCTTCTCCCTCCCTCCCCCCCAGAAGGGGGTGAGGATGGACTAAGGGGCACTGCTGGAGGGCAGTGGCCTGAAACAGACGTCGCCGAGCAGGGAGCAACGCAGGTCCAGACACCAGCAGAGAACAGACGATGGATGCAACACTACCAGCAGAGGGCACGCCCCATGGACTGAGCTAATACCCAGAGCGACCAGCGGAAGATGCCACGGTGGTGAGTCCCAACCTCCTCACAATCCATTTGTCGCTGAGATCTGATCTAAGTGGTGTAACTTTTACAACTTGCCATGAGTAAAGGAGAAAACCGAAAGATAAAAAGGAAATAAATATATACCACAACCTAAGTTTATCACAACTTGCAAGATCATGTACTGGCCATATTTTAAAATGCTGAAACTCCTCTACCCTCCACATGGTTCATCTGTTCAACAGTAAGAGGAGGGGAAAAAAAGAGTGAATTTCAGTGTTTTACATAAACAGGAAAGCAGCAATATGAGAATTACTGTGGAAGGTCTGGACTCAATTTGAGAGTCTAGCAAGAACAAAAAATAATGGACTTGATTTGGCTTGCATCAATCTGTGCTTTAAATTTAAAAAAAAAAAAAATCAGACTAAGGTAACACTGTTCCACCCATGGCAAAGAGATTTAAGATGTTTCCATCGATGCAGGAATAGTGAATGAGTGAATTTGGGGTATGAAAGATATAGTCTAATGCAATAGTGTGAACAGAGAGATTACTAAAGAGCTTTGTAAAAAGTATTCCTACAGTAGCATTAGGACTTATCAGTGCATCAAAGATTTAAAGTTCCCATGTCAATATGAACTGGTCCCTAAAGTCATGATGAACCAGAGGACAATCACTCAAACAGGAAATTAACTGTCATCCACTTTGCAGACGATAGGACTGTAATTTACCTCATCATTAATATAATTCAGCGAGATTCCCCATTATTCAGTATGCCTAAGGATACTTAAGGCGTGAACAACAGGTGCCCTTGGTATGTAACTTAAGTACAACATCAACATCTGCATTCAAATTTTTAAAAGTTGTCATATGTCATGTTCTTTAGTTTCATTACTGCATGTGTGGGTTGTTTTTTTTTTAAACTGGAAACTACATGGATCAAGACCTTGAAGACAATAGGTCACAAAATCCATAATAAAAAGAAAAGCTGCCCAACATCACTGTTAAAATACCTTTAAAAAGGCAGTTCATAGACAAAAAATAATGCATTATACATTCAGATTTTTTTCCTCTCTCAATAACAAAGCAATCTCAGAAGAAAACGCTCAGTAGTGAAGGCCACATACTTTTTTTTTTTTTGCATTTGTTTGATAAATTGAAATGCAAAAACCATTAAAGCCTCTTATAAAAGGAGAAATGGAAATACAGAGCTTCTGGAAAAAATGATTTAGTTGATGGGGCGGTCAGCATGGAAAATGTTGCAAATGCTACAGCTGAGCTGACCACCGTACAAGGGAATCTAAACAGGAACACAGTACAGATGTCCACTTGCCAACTTGTAAACAAGAAAAAAGCATTTCACAGATTCAAAGTTCAAGGGAAGTAAACTTCTTAAAATAATTTTGTCAGTTCAACCCTGATTTTAAAAGTATGGCTAGCAAAAATACAGAAGCCTCAGCCCATCTATGAGTCTTGATCAGAGCAGCCATCTTCCTCTGATAAACTACTGGAAACAGACCCTCTTCTAAGGATGACAAGAAAAGAAAACCTCTCTCTCAAATTCTCTCTCTTGCTCTCAGTTCCACACACACACATCCATGGAATTCATCTGCTGCAGGGACTTGCATGCTGCTATAGATTGAGACGTGGGGAGACTGGTGGAGGAAAGCAGGCAAATTCTCTTAAAATACTACGAGCCACATCAACATTATTCTGGGCTATTTCAAGTGCCCTCTTCACTTCTTCAAAAGAAAAGCCCTCTCCCATAAGTTTTGCAATTTTTGCATCCACATTTTCCAAGGAGGTGTCAGAGTTGTATGTTTTCCTGTGGTGGATTTCTGGTGCAGTCCTGCGAGGAAGTGGTTTGGGGGGTCTGGCTGGTGCTTGTGAACCATCTGTTTAAAAAAAACCGGAGAGACAATCACTACAAACTGGTTTAAACATGATGTAACGAGGTAGTGCTCAGTAGTTCAGGCCTCAAGTTAAGGGAGAACTCAAAACCAAGTTTTATGAAGCCTATTAAGAGGACTGTTTTAATGATTCCTTTCTTCAGCTTTGAAATTCTGGTGGAAACTGTATTAGAACATTTGCCAGAAGTGTTCACAACCTAAACAGTGCAGCCTTGTGTTAATAATGCAGTAAGAATCTGAAAGTGGAAGTGACTAGTCTAGTGGTTCTCAAACTTTTGTACTGGTGACCCCTTTCACATAGCAAGCCTCTGAGTGTGACCCCCCCCCATAAATTAAAAATACTTTTTAATATATTTAGCATCATTATAAATGCTGGAGGCAAAGCAGATTTTGGGGTGGAGGCTGACCGCTCGCAACTCCCTATGTAATAACCTCGTGACCCCCTGAGGGGTCTTGACCCCCAGTTTGAGAACCCCTGGACTAGTCTATATTTGCATTGTCCAAACTAGGCAAAAAAGTATTAAACAGCATAAGTAGTAAAAATTAAATCTGAATTTTAATGGTCATTTACTCTCAACAATGAGATTTTATTAATATCACCAAGAAGGATTTAGTCAGTTTTATTCAGGAAATTGCACAAATCAGTAAACTATGTAAAAGAAGACTCATCAAATAAACCTGAAGAGGAGAAACTAGCACTCATTTGTACATCATGAGAACATATTTCAGTCATTTGTAGTTTATTTCATGCATGTCAAGGGTGCTTGATACATAGGAAAAATCATTTCCTCATTCTGTCCCCGCAAAAAATTAATAGTCCAATAAATTTCAGTGGTGAGAAAAAGATCCCTAATTTTTTCTCCCCAAATATCACAGTTCACACATTTCAGATGTTGGCTGGGTATGCTACAGCCTGTCTGCAGTGCTTCATAGGAATGTTAACCTTCACAGTTAACACTGCCGCTAAGAATCATGATGTGCTGATGCAAAGAGCTAATAACCACAGCTTCTAATCTTTTCAGAGTCAAGGGGTTAGGACTCAAGTAAACTTGGTACTTTGCCCAAACCCCTTTATCCTTGCTGAGGCTACACTAAGAAGCTTGAATACAAGATGGCATACAGCAAAAATGCTTTGAGTGGGTTTTTTTTCTAATTTTTTATTTTTGCTTACCCCTTTTCTTTTTTTAGATTTGTATTTTTTTTTATTTTTTTTTTTTTTTTTTTTAAGGCTTTCAATCCTTTGAGAAGAATTCTGAAAAGTTCTACTGAAAATAAATAGTGCTCCAATGATATGTAATTAGAGAAAGCTTATGGCAATAACATTTTCCAGTTTATTTATACAGGTGGCAATAGCATTTTGTTTTTTCAAATCTTCCAGATATATCTTGTAATGCAAAGGAGCATAATAATTTCATTATCAAAGTTATACCACTATTCAATTTTATACAGGGAGAATATCTGGATTGTAATCCCACAGAGCACGTTAAACATCTTCAATGGATCAACCTAGTCATTTATGTAGATCTTTCAAGATGCATTTCCTGACTCAGTTTTAATCCCAACAAGCTTTTCTGAACGCATCAGTATGGGAAATCTATTGTTAAGTCAGACAAGATCCAGGAAATATTTTTCTAGAAAGATGGTGGGGTTAATGTAACAAATAGATGAGAGTAATTTTATTCAGATTTCACATTAAAAGACTGGGTTTAATCTTGTGCTGGAAACATTGCTTATTTTCTACACAACATGCTGATGAGAAAAACAGCAGATAGGATTATTTTGTCTTTATAAAGGACACTGAAGATGAAAAGTGCTATATAAATGCTAATGATAAAAAGACAATACAAGGCAGGATTGAGCTTACTGGAGAAAGGGGTGTGAAATACTTGTAGGATTAGATGATTAGCAATATTTCAGGAAATTTTAGTTACCAGTAAGAGAGAGGAATAAGTAAAATCAGGAATTCAGACTTATTTTACAAAACTCAATTTACAGTATTATTGAAGAATACGGTCCATAATTAAAATCAAAGTATGTACAATACTAGAAAGTTGCAAGACAAATAATGTAACATATGTAAATCTGAGGCAAAAAATGACTATCAAAGCAATTTTAGAAAAATTATTATGGAAGAAAAGTATCTAAAGAACAAAATACAATTAAATTTGATACAGTTTTGGTGAGTGTGAGAGAGAGAGAGACACTGACTAGTTCTGGCAGCTCCAATCTGAAACCCAAACCTGGAATTTTTTCTTGACTAAAAACTTCATGTTGCCTAAAACCTGCTGAAGCAATCATGTCATTTAGGCAGACCATTTTTAATTCTTTTTGAAGATTTGCAACACATGCGTTTTCTTCTCACTCCACCAATGTCTCTATAGCACAGGTCCTTTTAAATCTCCAGCCCTCACTCTTTGTAACTCAATTCCCTGTTTTTTTAAAATGCTGACACCTCTCTCAGTATCTTCACAGCCATATAAAATTTTAGCGGAATATGAGTATCCTGTTAGATTCTGAGCTTAAAAATACTAAGCTTAAACTGCACTTCCATCTGTACACAGAGAGTCAGAAGCATTTAAACAGGCCTTTCTTTCCCGCCACACACACTGATGCGTCAGCCACCTTGGATTCTTAAAAAAAAAAAAAAAATCTCTAGCTGAATTTTCAGTTAATTGTATATTCGTATATTTCAATTAATTGTTTCAGCCTCTGAGCAGGCAGCCTCAATCACGGACACTTCTGTTTCCATGCTGCCTTCAACCCTTAGGAAACTAGCTAATCCCAAAGCAGATAACGCCTGGGGACTGGCTAATTTAATAAACGACTATGGTTCACTAGCAGAAGGTGAGGGGGAGAAAGTATGTGGGGGGGAGAAAGAGGCCTCCTAGGCTGCTAAGAGGCAGGGATAAATCAGGACTCTTGCTGCCCGGGTAATGATGCCAAATAGCTTCATTTCCCCCTGCAGTGAGCCACCCCTTCTGTTCCCTTCCTGCTTTTTAAACATGTCCCATCAGCTGCTGCTACCAGTCTGGGAAGCAGCAGGGATAAGTGGCACCATGCAAGCACGCCTGCTGGTGGGTGAGAGTGAGGAAGCAGGCTTGTCATGTGAGGGTCTCTGTGGAGTGGAGGAAGGCAGACAAGTCTATTTGGGGGAGAGGAAAAAACACCTTCAAAGGGATATTAGAGAGCCAAGGGGATCTCACATTTTGAGGAGCTCAGGGAGCCCGAGTGACGAACTTCAGTGCCTCACTGTAGGATGCTAAGAACGTGTAAATCTTCCTCAGAGCCCTAAAGCCTGGGGCTCTACAAGGCATCACAGTGCTCATGCAGATGGTTGCAGACAAGATGAGTCTGAACTATATTTAAATCAACTTTTAAGTATGTAACAATAGCAAAAATGCACCGAGCCAGATGAATTTTTCCTTTCTCATTTATAAATAATGTAAAGAGGGCAAAGCATGATTTTACATTTATATTTATTAGCGCACCCCGGAGCAATGTGGACAATGGCATAACAATGCATTAAAAAGGCCAGATCATAGGCAGGGCTCCGAAAGGCACACAGCTTTGAACCCATTTCGCACAGAGCATATAAGTGAAATGCTAAGGAGATACAATAAATGTATACACAAGGGGCCTGATTTCCTCTACCTTGCACCTTGGGTAGTCATTTACATTTGAGCAAAGTGAGTGCAGAAGTCAGACTGCTCCATTCACTCATACCAGTTGTAGCATGTTACACCCACTTTCCACAGGTGTAACTGACTGCACAGAGGTCCAAGGCAGTGGAAATCGCAGCTGAATAAGAGAAGAAAAGGTGATGGGTGGGTGAGTGGGGAGAAAGAGTGTGTGTGTGTTCGTTCTAGAATTAGCGATTTCTCCCCTCATTATTTTTACCTGAACTCCCTCAGAATTTATACCATCACAATGTTTGATATATATATAAATCCTCTGGAACAATGAAAGTGAAAAATTGAGAGGCATTTTTGAAATTTTCAGTGCTAAATAAATTGCTGTGTTTGGTACTTAGATACCACAGTGATAGGTGTCAGAGACAAACAACATATACTATATTTCACCATATGCAACCTTTCTTGATATTAAAGAATTCTAAAGGGCTGTCATTCAAAATATACCTGATAGATACATTTTCCCTTACAAGTCAGCAATTAAGCTGAACGTTCTAATGAAGCAGGTATTATTCCCATTTTATAAATAGACAGCCTGAGGCACAGAGGGGTCAAGTGACAAGGTGTACAGTGAGTCAGTGGCAGTGCTAGGAATAGAATTTACTCTAATGAGTGGACTACATTCACTTCCTTTCTAACACCGATCCAACAGCAATCCTAAAACAGGTTTGGAATGAACAACTGCTGGCTATTAGAAATGAATGGTTAAGGAATAACTCAAACACTAAGTTATATTCTCCATACAAGGTTGTCTTTTGGAAACCTGAAGTAAATTGAATCTGTTCATTCTGAAACTTATTAATTTCAAAGGATGGAATTACAACCACTACAAAGACAACTTTCCAATTATAGCATAGCATGATTTAACAAACAGTTGTCATTTAATTCAAATTAAATTGAAAATTTTTATGTACATAGCATGCTGGATTAGTATATTTATAGCAGAGGTTAAAGCATATGGATATTTTAGAAGATGGTTATGCAACACATCTAAGTAATGAAGTATTTACTAAGCAATATCAAGAAAACTATTTGAAATCTTAAATAGCAAGCATCTTGCAGTCATTTTGCAGAATTAAAAACTTCTCTACATCAGCTTCCTTTGTGGAGGGCTTTAAAATACACCAGGTCCCATGAAAAAAAGCATATCCATTAAAAGACTATGCAGAAATGTAAATCACCGTGTGAAAAGCAAGCAAGTCCTTTTTAAGTGAGCTTTAAAGAAAAGTCTTAGAAATAATATAAAATTCACTACCTTCTATTTTGAATGGATGAAACAACCATTGTGTTTTTATATTGGCACAGAGGGAAAATTGTGGTGTTGTAGCTGCGTCAATCCCAGGATATTAGAGAGACAAGGTGGGTGAGGTAATATCTTCTTCAGAAGAGCTCTGTGTAAGTTCAAAAGCTTGTCTCACTAACCAACAGAAGTTTGTCCAATAAAAGGTAATACCTGACCTACCTGGTCTCTCTAATACCTTTAAGATAATCAGCTTGTTTAATATGTATATTAAAACAGCACCTAGAAGCCCTTCAGTCAGAATCAGGGTCCCATTCTGCTAGGCAGAAAGACAAGAGCCCTGTCCTGAAGATTTTATAAACACACGTGCTATAAAACCCATTTTCAATGCTATTTAAATAGTGAGCACCAGCATTCTGTTAGGGGAATTGTAGTCTTGAAAACGCTATCATTTATTTGAGACATCAAACTGAGGTTCTAAACAGTGGTGATCATTAAAGATCCCCCTGGCACTTTTCATGCTTAATCCTGCCTTTAGTTTCAATTGGAAAGTGTTCTTCACTTCCTGATCTATATTGCAGTATACTGGTGTAACATACTGTTAAAGGAACAATGTCAACTTTACCGTTTATATTAAAAAAAAAACCACACCACACTTTGGTTGGAAAATCTATCACCTACTGTTGTTGCAAGTAACACCTACAATTACTAAAACTGACAGACAAGAGGGGAAAAAAAATCATGTTTTTCAATGTGTTTACTTTGTGCATTTGAGAATAGTTTACAATTTCACTATTTGCCCTGAACACCAATCCTAACAGCTACATGCACACAACTCAGTGAAACTACTCACATGATTAGCTCAGGGCCTCTGTTGGCCAGTTTCTCCTGATTGTATGGGCTTTCATGCAGCAAAAGGAGAGAAAATACATTTGTAAAGAACAGGAAAACTGACTGCAAATAGGCAAAGGACTCAGGGATTGGGGTAATAATGAAACTACTTTTACTTTATTTCTTTTTAACTGACTAGGTTTATAGTTGACAGTGTCCCTTTAAATAGCTGCGGTCTTGTACTGCAAAGGCGAGTACATTCATTGGCTTATTAAGTGATTTCTACTGTACATAAAAGGATAGACTCATAGGACTAGAAGGGACCTCGAGAGGTCATCTAGTCCAGTCCCCTGCACTCATGGCAGGACTATTATCTAGACTCTCCCTGATGGGTGATTGTCTAACCTGTTCTTAAAAATCTTTAACAATGGAGATTCCACAACCTTCCCCTACGCAATTTATTCCAGTGTTTAACCTCCCTGACAGCAAGTTTTTCCTAATGTCCAACCTAAACCTCCCTTGCTGCAATTTAAGCCCATTGCTTCTTGTCCTATCCTCAGAGGTTAACAAAAAAAGTCACCCTCCTACTTGTAACAACCTTTTATGTACTTGAAAACTGTTATCACATTCCCTCTGTCTTCTTGTCCAGACTAAACAAACCCAGTTTTTTCAATCTTCCCTCTTAGGTCATGTTTTCTAGACCTTTAATCATTTTGTTGCTCTTCTCTGGACTTTCTCCAACTTGTCCACCTCTTTTCTGAAATGTGGCACCCAGAACTGGACACAATACTCCAGTTAAGGCCTAATTAGCGCAGAGTAGTGTCTTGCTTACAACACTCTTGCTAATACATCCCAGAACGATGTTTGCTTTTTTTGAAACAGTGTTCCGCTGTTGACTCACATTTAGCTTGTGGTCCACTATGACCCCAGATCCCTTTTCGCAGTACTCCTTCCTAGGCAGTCATTTCCCATTTTGTATGTGTGCAAATGATTGTTCCTTCCTAAGTGAAGTACTTTGCATTTGACCTTATTGAATTTCATCCTATTTACTTCAGATCATTTAAGCAGTTTGTCCAGATCATTTTGAATTTCAATCCTATCCTCCAAAGCACTTGAACTGCCTCCTAGCTTGGTATCATCCGCAAACTTTTAAGTGTATTCTCTATGCCATTATCTAAATCATTGATGAAGATATTGAACAGAACCTGCGGGAACCCACTTGATATGCCCTTCCAGCTTGACTGTGAACCACTGATGATTACTCTCTGGGAACAGTTTCCCAACCAGTTATACACCCACTTTATAGTAGCTCCTTATAGACTTTCAATCTGTCATTGGATCTGTGTGGGGGCAAGGGTCCAGCCATGTGAATCCAATTGCAGGATTGGATACATTATAAACTACACTGTGAAACATTTGAGGTTCCTTCTGGATCAGAGATGTTATATATTATGGCCATCTTCTCAATTTGTTACATTATGTTGACTAGGCCGTTACAAACTGGATATGGCATTTTAGTTGCTTTTGGGTTTCCTGTGTATTTTTAAAATGTTTTACAGTGCCCAGAGCCACGGAAGTCACATTGGTACATATCTGAGAGAACAATATAGAGGTTTAAGTTATATTTTGTCCACAGAGCAATACAAGGAGAATAAAATTAGAACCAAGAGGCACAGTGGCCCCTGCATGACTTCTGACCTCTTGTGATCTCCAAAAGAACAGGGAAAATCCCTTATCTTAAAAAGAGAAGAGAAAAAAAAGGGATACCAGAATTCACATAAGCATTTCATGTCTATGGCTAGGATTAAAAGGACTCACCTTTAAAAGGGAAAAGAATTTTCCTTTTAGTCTACCCAACCCTACAGATCATAGGATGGACCAGCCACTCTGGGATTTTATGTCCTTTCAGAAGATCCATCTCCATTGTTCCTCTGATGGTTACCTATCTGTTTTTTGTAGGAAGAGAATTGCCGGCTCTTGTTGTGAATGACAGCAGCCTTTCCTCACAAACAGGATAGCGATGCATGCGCACTGGCTGATGTCTGCCAGTTTGTCTGAGCTAAGATTACTTGCTTTCTTAGGCTAGTACTTTGTCTAAGCATGGTTTTTCTTCTTACCTGAGGAGGATGGAAGTGGATCGTAGTCCTGGGATGTTCTATTAGTTTTGACATTTTCCACTGTTACTCTTCGAGCAGGAGGCAAAGGAATTACACTATTAGCCGGATCAAAAAAGAGATCTATAAAAACGAGAGGATACTTAAAGTTAAAAATGTCTGCAAGGTTCATGCACACGGGGCCAGATTAGAGCTGTATGAACAAGAAGCTTCAGGAGAGAAGGGATTGTGAATGCAAACAGGAGTGTTCCTGACACTGAGACACACACGCATTCATGCAGTGGGGATGTAACTATACCTAGAGATAACCAGGGGAGATGGTTAACTTAATATAGTCTCCCTCCCTAACACATATTAAAGAAACTAGTGATGGGGTAAGCAAGCTTTGTGTCTGTCTTTGCCAATTACTGAAGGCAGATTAAAAAGTCAAAGCAGAAAATTAGAACATTCTCTCTTCTCCATTTTTAGGCCCCTATTGAAGGCAGTACTTCAGCAAGTGCTTAACTTTAAGCAATGCTTAAGAGCTGTCTTGAACAGGTTGCTTTCCTCAACTGAGTCTTCAATCCATTTACCACAGTGGGTGCAGGGATATGTATGTTTTTTTGTGGTGATCAAGTCCTGGCTGTACACTCATTAGATCTGTTGCATGGCTGTGAAATCACCTGAAGGCTTGTACTGTCACCAATCATAATAAGGCTTTGGAAATCAGTGTCTAAAGAAATATTCAAAAAAAGAATGAAATATCAATCTACACAAGCATGTGTCTCCGTGTAGTCAAAGGCACTTATAAGATTAATGAACAGTGACAGTACAGATCATAGCTAATACGTACATATGGAAAATGTTAAGTGACCATAAAATGTACTTTCCAGATTTTATGTGAACATTTATAAATTATATTACATTATTGTTATGTTATTTCCAAATAATTTTCCACATAACCTTGTGAATTGCAGATAACATTAGTTTATCTTCAGTACTCAATTTTAGAGTAATTTCTGTCCCTGCAATTCACAAGCATGAACCTTTGATTCTTGTAACTTGCAAAGTCATCCATATGCAGTGGCTTATTTGACAAGATGGATGGTGAATTGAACTGTGTCAAGAAAAGTACAGAGTACTAGCACATTATTCAACATTCAGATCTTGACAGATAGCAGAAAACGTCAGAAAGTGTCTCTTGGGTTCATCTAATTACTCTCAGGCACTTGTACTGCAACACATTTACTTGAAGCTTTTAATTGAGGGGTATTTTTTAAATGAGCTTGCCATTTCAGAAGAGTAGTTAAAAGACGAAAACACTTAGTGTATTTTTATGCTTTGTTATTTTTTGCAATGTGTTATGGTAAACCTGCCATATTTCATTGTGATTGATACCACTCCTTGCAATCGTGTGATGTGAACTGAAAAATGTAAACTTGATTTCTAAATGTTTCAGATAATTTTTTTGTCCCCACCCCCCCCCCCCTTTTTTTTTTTTTGCTGAGCAAAAGGAATACAGCATTTAAACAAACAGTGCAACAAAGCATGTGTAGTATGTAGCGATGTTAGAAGTATTGAAAATACTATTTTACCTGACTCTTTGGTAGACCCTGTAAATAACTTTTTTGCTAAAGCATGTCTACACCTCTAGAGCCACGTCTCTTTCAATGTGGTATTTCATAGAGAAACATTTAAATATCCAAATACATACATGACCTTTGGGCTGACCCTTACAGTGATAGTTCATGCCCCAGACAGCTCACAGTCTATCTTTTTGTTCTGTGTTTGTACAGTGCGTAGCACAACAGGGTCCTAGTCCATGCCTGGGGCCCCTAGGCACTACTGCAATACAAATAAATGACAACACAATAATCATCAATGCCAAGATTTTCAAAAATGTGTTCTCTTAGGCTCCTCATTCAATATTTAGGCACCTAAATTGACATTGGGTACAACGGGAGCTGCTGTGAGCTCAACCCTTTTGAAAAATCAGGTCAGTTTAAGTGCCTGGATTTAGAAGTCTAATTTTGCTACCTATGTTTGAAAACGTTGGCTCACTAACTACTGTCCCTGGGAGACAAACAACACTACAGAAGATCATTCCAAAAACAACAAAGTTTCTAAACCCAGTTCAGGTTGCTAAGTGACAACGTCCTTTACGTATGACAACAGTAAAAAAACCTGAGCCAGAGGTTCCCCAACTCACCCGCCTTTGGAGATTCATGTCCTAGGCATGCCTCCCATTGGCACAAGGGAAGGGGAATCTGGATGGTGCCAAGTTCAAAGCCTGCAGAGGGTGGGGGTGGGGGGCACTAAATCTCCACGTGACCAGCACGTGTTGGGAGAAGGCTCATGTGCTCCACTTGTAATCCCGCTGCCAGAAGCAGCACTAGTGCATGTGTGAGGTGGCTCTGCCTTCTCCCCGTGTGCACATGCACATGATGGGGGCAAAGACACGCGTGTGGTAGTGCTGCCACCATGCTGACTCCCAGCACAGCCAAAGGGTGGGGGGGGAGAGGGTATGCGTGTGCATGTGTGAGAGAGAGACCGTGTGAGTGGAGAAAGGGAAGTGAGTTCACACAAGGATCTGCTGTTCCTGTGGGAGCTGGCCGGCATCAGGTTCTTTGGCCCTGCTGAAAACTTCAGTGCACCCCCCACAGGAGGTGCACACCCCCCAGTTTGAAAACTAATGACCAAAGCACTTAAATGTAAGGAATGAATAGTTAAGGACATAATAAACCCTACACTGTCCACATAATGAATAAGTTATTGTAAAGGAATCCACATTTAACACAACACAACTACCTCAACTCTGAACCATGGATTCTTATTGTGTATTCTATTATCATCTTGATTTTGGAATTTAACTATTTTCTTTTAAGTGATGTAGTTAAGTGGGAAATATTATCCAAATTTAAGGTGTCAAATTATGGTAGAATTTTTCAGTAAAGTATTTCTATAATTGCTGTTCCTGGAGAATAATGCGTCTGTAATGTAATTTAAAAGGAAAAGTACATAAGACTGTTGATTTATGGTAAAAATTATGCACTTATATCGACTCGCAGTGGAGGCAGATCAATGTGTATTATCAATGTGGACACAACATGCTTCTTTTTCAAACAGATTTTTCATTGTGTTTATATTTTGGGATTACCGGTAAAAGAACAGTATTCTGAATCAGAGCTAAGGGTGTGGGGTTGTGTTAAAAATAAAATAAAGTTTAACTAATTATCTATCTTGGCAGGATGGCAGAGATGGGGTCCAAGAGTACCTCTTAATTTGTGAGCCTATTAGACAAGAGAGGGACAACCAAAAACCTCTCTGACAGGAAAGCAAACCATCTTTCGGGATCATTTCTGCCACCCACTAGCATCACTGCTAATTTGTCTGGAGCCTCAGCCAGCTTGCTCTCAATCTAACAACCAATGCCATCCACGTGCTGGGAAAGCAAAGACTACACACCAGCAGGGTTTGATGAAAACAAGACGGAACTGCCTGTCAACTGCATACTGCTGACACCACTGCCCAAAATGCCTTACTGTATCCCTCAGGAGCTGCTGAAAGAAGAGACGTGACAATACAGAGCCTTGGAGATCACCACAAAACAGAATCCTTAGGGTAGGTAGATAATTGGCCAAAAACATCCTCTGAAACCTCCCAAAGAAGAAAGAAGGGAACCCCTCAACAGCTATAGTATGTACCCCAGCCCACAAGTAAGTCCACAATCATTTTGGGAGCAATCTATATCAGAGGCAGCAAACAGAACCAACTTAATCAGCATGGAGCCCCAACCACTGTACATTAACAGGAGGAAACCAATCAAGCCAGTAGCACAGTTTCTGTGCCATATGAAAACTGGACTGAAAGACAGACAATAATTTGGGGATATGAATTTTCATGAACAAAAATGGGATGAACTGCAGTTCCTTGCAATCGGGGGGGGGGTTACAATTTATATAGTTTAGAAGAAAGATTTGACAGTGACAGTTCTATCAAATATAAGTTGTTGTTCTTTGCCCTTCTTTTCTGGTGTTGTCCCCAGTCAAAAAGAAGACTAAATTGTATATTATATAGTCCTATAGAAACTAATACTCGGTGGTGATATGACAAATGATGCACACTGGCAACAGAGAACTCAATGAAAAACTTGGCACTTCAAAATAACTATTCCTATTAGAAAAATGTTATTTACCAAAATGTCATGTCTAGTATGAAAATATTGATTTTATCTATTACATGGGGAAAAGAAAAGTAGAGACTATTTTATATTCTCTGAGATGTTTCATCTCTATAGTTTTAAAAACTAACCTCTCCAGTTTTTAGACAGTTAGCTATGGGCAAAGGTATTTCTAACAGGCAATGACAACTTTATCAGCTCATATAAGCTTCTGCTGTAAATGAAAATACATTAAAAACTTGGTTTGCTTGGTGACTCTTACCCGAAGGAGGAAGGAACAGTTCATGTCCTGAAGAGGGTCTGCTTCCTGAGCCCAGAGGTTTGGAATGCTCAGTGAGGCTGTGCCGAGCGGGAGGTGGAGGTGGAGGAAGTGATGGTGGGGAGTTGTCAAATGCATCTTCGCCTGCATTTAAAGAGCAAAACTTCATTAAGAATAGTACAAAAAAAGAGTGAAGCTTAAAATTGATTTTCCATGGCTGCTAACAGAGGCTCTCACTCCTAGGGTTTTCCAGAAGTTCAGTGACTCCAATAATGAAATTGTAACACTGGCTCTTATTATGCACAACTGAATGCTTTAAAACATGCTGTGAATGACCTTTTAGTGTACTCAGTTTGGGATTTTTTTTTTTTTAAGATTTACTCTAGGTTATAAAATAATCAGCGTGTTGGTGGCCAGTCTGTAGATGTTGCACCTGAGTGAAATAAAAGAGCACTGAAAATTACTGTAGGATGATCGCTATGTACCAGTAGCTCAGTGAAATAAAATTTAAATTTAAAAAAAAATGTGCTGACCATGCTGGATTTGATGTATACTGTGTGTGACCTTACACAGGGATAAGCAGATCTGGCCTAAGAGGCCAAGAAGTGCAGTCCTGGGGATTCATGGGAGACCTCACCCTCTACATTATGAGAGAGGAGCAGGCAGGTGTAAATTCAAGGCTGTCAAGGGGCTCTCTGCACTCTCTGTTACTGCACTATGAAATTGAAGTGTGAGCTAAGGCACCTTATAATGCATAGTGGGTTAGCATACTGAAATCAAAGAGTGAAAGCAATCAGAAAAAAAAAATGGGTGTCATGCATAGTGGAGCCAACACTTCACAACTGAGCTCTGGGTAGGCTATATAACAAAGGTGGGCAAACTACGGCCCACGGGCCACATCCGGCCTATGGGACCATTCTGCCCAACCCCTGAGCTCCTGGCCAGGGAGGCTCGCCCCCGGCCCCTCCCCCGCTGTCCTCCCTCCCCCGCAGCCTCAGCTCACTGCGCCACAGGCTGCAAGGGCTGCGAGCTCCTGGGGTAGTGCAGCTGCAGAGCCCGGCTTGACCCAGTGCTCTGTGCTGCGCGGTGCATGGCTGGCTCCAGCCGGGTGGCATGCGATCGCGATCTCTGGCGGCAATTCGGCAGGAGGTCCTTCACTCCCAGGCGGAGTGAGGGACCGTCCGCCGAATTGCCGCCGAATACCTGGAACTGCCGCCCCTGTCCGGAATGGCCGCCCCAAGCACCTGCTTGAGAAGCTGGTGCCTGGAGCTGGCCCTGGCGAGGGGGGCAGGAGTCCCGGGGGAGGGCGTCAGGGGGGGCGAGAAGCGGGGGGGGGGTCAGATAGGGGGCAGGGGCCGGGCCTCCCCTAACCAGCCCTCCATACAATTTCTGAAACCCGATGCGGCCCTCAAACCAAAAAGTTTGCCTGCCCCTGCTATAGAAGGTGGCAGAGGGCAAGCATAAGACTCCCAGCATGGCTGAGAGGGTGGCTTGGTTAGTGTCTGCTGAACTGGAGAAGTTGAGGGGCTCTAGGAGAGGGAACTGGGGACTAGGATTGGGAATGGCAACGTTTGATGATTCTGGGCACTGATCGTACTCTGCCTTAGACCTTAATCTCTTGATGTAAAGGAAACAAACTCCAGATTTATTATCTCCAATGGTGCTATTAGTCACTCCCTTTTATATGATAAAATGAAAACTCAAATTGCACATAAAAAGTCAGCCCCTTCCCCAAATTTAGAGAACTTGAAATTTGACTAATTCCAATATTACGTGACTAAAATCTGATTTTTAGAGTAAAAGGTTTCTCTACTGTTTACCATCAGAAGACGAATGTAAACTGCCATTGCATCTGTTTCTGGCATGACACTAAATCCTGACACAACCATGGTAAACTTTCCCATTTTGCAGGGAACGGGTGTAGCACCTTCTATTATGGGATCAGTCTTCACCAACTGACCAATGTTGGGATTTGGATGTTAATGGGTAAAGGTGAAAGAGCTCAGTGCCTGGACTGAGACAGGCACTGACTGCAGATCACTGCATAATTACACTCACTTGTTTTCTTCAAATAATCTAGCCCACATCATTTGAATCTCTTAATAAACCTATGAATTTATTTATTTTGCTTTGCAATAAGCTTGGTATTTGGTTGATTTTAACTATGTTAACCATTAAAGATTTAACAGCGAAAGGTCTGCTACCTAAAGGGGGCACCAGAAGATCATAATCGGAGGGTGTCCTGTTGAGCAAAGAGCTGTGTTTTGGGTTGTCTCTGGTAGGAGGCCGTGCAGGCGGTAAAGATACTGGAGCAGTGGATGCATCAAAGGCGTCTCCTGAATAACAAAGCAACAACAAGAATTTAATGCTTTCTTATGGCACCTCTAATTGTGTCAGACTGGCTGTCTTCTTCTAGAATTAAAAACAACTAAATAAAAACATACCTAACTCCGGGGTTTTGGATTTCTTCATCTCTGAAGCAGCATTGTGTGTTCCATTCATTATACCAGCACACTGACCATTCTCACACACCCTTAAAGCAGAGATCAAAGGAAGAAATCAACCAACCACCCAAGTTTTCATCCCCCAAATCACAAAATGAATGCTATAGCACTACATAGATTGCATTCCTCCATTTGTTTTGATGTAAGTTGTAACAACTCTTTAAGCACTCATAGTGTTTTTCACTTTCAAAGCATATTAAACACAGTAACAGATTAATCCTTACAACAGCCTTCTGAGAAATTACACTATTCTGCTGATGGGGAAACTGAGGCACAGAAATTAAGTAATTTATGCACGTCTCCATTGCAAAAGAGTGGAAGAGCTGGGATTAGACTTTAGGAATTCCTGGCTCTCAACCCAAAGCTCAGTCTACTAGAATATGCTACTTCTCCATATTGTAAAGTTACATATGTAAATTCATCCTTATTTTATTACTGAAATCAAACAGTAAATATACTGGAAATAAAACCCTTTAAACAAGAACAAACCCATGGAAATAGTGCATGTCTGTAATATTCCTAGTCAAACTCTTAAAATAAAAGAATTAACTCTGCCCAAAACAATTTAGTGTGTCTCCATTAGATCCTCTGTTGTCAAAAAAGTGGTGTATTGCTTTGTCTTTTATATTCAATTTTATCCTTTCCTCCAAAGGGAAACAAATTGTTCTGTAGAGAGAAGCCTAAGTGTCAAATTGGTTGCTAAAACTTCCCAGAACTAGCAATCCTGGTGATTCAGGCAGTAAAGTAGAAAGCTACGGAAAATCCTGGCATAAAAATACAAATTATCCTTAGTGGATAATATATGATAACTCTGCTAAAAGGCTCAGGATACTAACAGGAAACTAAAATCACCCAATAGTGAATGATGTGCTATTTGAACAAGTGTTAAAAACCAACTGGGGAATGGAGGCACCTCAACTCTGTGACAAGAACTGCGAAGTTTGTATAGGTAGGAATGATCAAAATAAGCTTCTTCAGTTAGGGGAAGGCTATAGGTCACATTACATACACCATTCTCACAAATCATTGACCCTTTCAAGCTAGAGAGATCTAGAGTTTCACCATTAACAGGAATGTAAATAAATCTATACATGCTGGCCATATGGAAGGGATGGATGAATAAAGCATGTGCAATTATTTAAAGCATATAAACAGGAAAAAGGAAATGGAATTGTGTGTGGTCCCAGGAGCTATAAATAGGAATAATGAAATGAAAATAAAGAATAATTATTTTCCTGACTGTCTGAAGAAAAACCTTCCTATTGGTGAGACCTATTATATTGTGGAACAGTCTTCCAATGGAACTGGAGAACGAAACATTGCTTGAGTCCCTTGAAGCTAGACTGATTATATCACTTGAAAATATACGGAATAATCCACCCTTGACTCCTTATCAAGGAGGAAAGACGACTTGCCACAGACAACAAAGTGTCCTAACACAACTCCCTGCCAACGAGGAAGTCTTCAGTGTGACCAGGCCATAACAGCATATCCTTTGCACTAGAAATACAAGGTAAGCAATTATTAAACACCCCACATCCTATATCCCAGCTACCTTTTTTTCCTCTTTAAGGAAATACTTTTTGGAGAAATATTATAAACAGAATGATACAATTGTGTTATATTAGTAGGGGCCTAATTAGACTGTTATACTGAGACACTCATCTTTTCTCTCCTTTCCACAACACAGACAAATCTGGCAGTAAGATAAAGTCAGCTACAAAACAAATCAATTGACTAACTACAATGCAATCCATTTGGTATATTATAATATGACTTTTGGAAGTGTACTATAATACTAGTACAGTGGCACAAAGTCTTAAATTAAACATGTATTCAAAAAGCACAGAATGGGATGCTTGAATTCAATAGCCACAGAACTACATGACATCCACAATAACAACTGCAGTCTCTTTATCTCCTTTAAAGTATCTGGGCTCAATCCAGAATTTTAATGAAGTCACCCCAAGATTATTTTGGCCCCTTATGAAGTCCTTGTCACAGCCAGAAAACTATGCACTCTCATGAGGCAGCCAGCCAGAGTGTAAAATCTCCAATTTAACTTCAAAATGGAGAGGCCAATAGGCATACCCATGCTTACCAAACATTTGTGATGCGTTTTGAAGGTGACAACGGAAATTTGGTACGACTCCACAAAAAGTTACAAACTCTTTCAGCAAGTAAAATGTATACTAGTTACACAGCTGAATAAATTCACTTATTTATGAAAAACGCATTGAAAAAGCTCCTAATAGAGCTTGCTGAAAAACAAGAGGTGAGAAGGGGTGCCAAAATTTTTTTTATGAAAACAAAAAACAATTTTTAATTTTTTTCTAATTTTTGTGAAAAAACTGAAATTTTCAGACACTGAAAAACAAAGATTTCAGTTTTTGTATTTTCAACAGCAACAAAAATTAAAGGAATAGCGATTTTCCACAAAAATTGTCATTTCTACAAAATAAGTCCTTTTTTGTCAAAAAACCTTTTTTGAATGAAAAATATTGCCTAGCTCCAGTTCCTAAGTATATGCTGTTGGTCGGAATCAAGGTTGTTTGTGAAACGTATAATTTTGAATGTTTACACTTCAGCACTGACATTAGCTAACAGCAGAAAGTTAATGTAACATTTGGAATATTTATATAAATTCATTCAACAGGTCGTTTCTGTACTTTCTTAAGTGTCACAGGTTTTTATTTTAGGCCTCACTTTCTTGTTATGTATGTAATTTGTACAAGGGTTATTACATGAAATCACTGCAGCAACTTTAACTATCAATTAAGGACGTTTTCTGTGTGGGATGTCCTGGATTAGCGCTAGCC